AACTGAGGTCACAAAATAGAATGTGTATAAACATTAAATGGAAAACTAACTTGCTCTGTAAACTTTCACCCAAACCACAAAAACTAAGTTTTAAAAAATATAAAACAAAAAATATATAATCTGTCCATTATGATGTACATAAAATTATACATGCACAAAGAACGAGTATTTAAAAATCTTTAAAACTCCCGTATAACTACACATATAGTTGTATATAGTAAATACAATGGAAAGACTGTGGTACTCATGGATAATTAAGTTTTTGTTTTATTTTTCAAAACTCATATTGTGTTTTGGGTGAAAGTTTATAGAGCCTGACTTAGATTTTTGTTGGACAAACAAAAGAACCAAATTTATCCTAAGCATTCTCTCATACTATTCATCTTATTATCTTCATATATCTTTTTTTTAAAATCATTTTTATATTGTTTCATATCGAAGTATAAAACAAGAGAAAACTTTCTACATTTATTAGCAAATGAATGAAAATCATGAAAGTATTTTAGTTAAAAAATACTTTAGCAACATGACACTTTAGTAATATGTATAATTAAATTTCATATTGATTTAGTTAAAAGATGAAGTGATTGGACCAATTTTCTTTTCCAAGAGAAATTTCTTGAGTTTTTCTCCTAACACTGGGAAGTATGTTTTCATAGGTCAGGAGCCCATATACAATGTGCTTCTACGATCACAGTCCAATAGAAATACACTGCTACTACTACTTATTAGGGAGTAATATTCAATGACACAAAAATTACTAAGTAGCAACAGCAATAGCAACATAAGCAGGAGAAGAGGCACTGAAAGAATAGAAAAGGAAAAAAATTAAACAAAATTAATGAAAAAGGTTTATGAGAAATTTTAAAATATATATCCAGGACATAAATATTAGTATAAGTTACAATATCTACCAATAAAAAAAGTATTTAATTTTCTAAAAAAAATTTGTTGCCTTCTAAAACTGATTAATCAAATGCAGTCATCACATTAAATATATTAAATGGCATTACAATAAGAATACCTGTATGTAGCCCACATGGACGAAGCACACCAGCCTGTGTGATCATGAGGTGTCGATGGGATCAGGCATCGGAAACCCAGAGCAAAAAATCATAATGTGAATGAAGGGGGTTGTGCGGAGTGGAGGCCCAAAGCCAATCTGTATGCAATTGGACATCCCCTTACAGAAGGGTTGTGGGGAGAAGTCAGGGTGCAGTATAGCACCAATGAAACATACAGCTTTCCACTGGTTCTTTAATGCTTCCTCCCCCCACCCCTCCACCCCCACCACTATCATGACCCTAATTCTACCTTACAAATCTGGCTAGACCAGAGCATGTGCATGGGTTCAGATAAGAGCTGGAAACACAGGGAATATACAGGACAGATAAACTCCTCGGGACCAATATTGAGAGTGGCCATACCAGAAGGGGAAGGAGAAGGTATGGGGAGAGAGGGGGAACAGATCACAAGGACCTACCTATAACCCCCTCCCAGGGGGATGGACAGCAGACAAGGGAGTAAAGGAAGACACTGAACAGTGTAAGACATGAAAAAATAATAATATGAAGAAAGCTGATGGTGCCCGGCTATCAAAAGATATAGCGTCTGGGATCTTAAAAGCTTGAAGGAAAACAAGCGGCCATCTAGCTCAGAAGCAACAAAGCCCACATGGAACAACATATCAACCT